TGAGGCTAAAATGGCTTGATGAACCGTTCGCCACGCACCGGCCACATTCACTTGCGTATCATAGAGGCTGTAAGTACACAGTGCCACACAAGTAGGCTGCTTTTTCTGGAATGCAGTCCAAGATAACCGTAATCGTGTATATATAGAAATATATCTTTGACGCTGTCATTTCAAAATGACCGCTTTAACCCGCTTTTTCACCTCCCAAAGAGCAAAGTTGGCTTGATGAGCGCAGATGAGGAAGTGGGAGCAAGAAAACCAATAATATCTTTATTGTCCTTCTAGTTAAGGTTAAGGGGCAAAGAGAAGCAATTTTGCTACTGAAAAAGCGAACGGTCAACACGAAGGTTCAAGACTTAGCCGAACGTTAGCAAAGCTAGATTTTCATAGTGAGGTGCTTCGAGTTAGCGAAGCGCTGTAGTAGCGCCGAAGCCCTATGTGCTATAATGGTGAGCCAAGGATGCTCCGCCTTCTCTATAGAAGCAGTCAACTGAGTTCTGAACAAATTAGTTCCTTGGTAATGGCATAATCGATAGATAGAAAGCCCTATGATGGGAAACTACCACATTAGGTTTGGAGAGATATGGGACCGGTTATATGATAGGGGAAGCAGATGCAAGATTTTTCTTTCAATAGCCGGCCAAATGACTACAAGATTATCGGTCTACTCTACCTCAACTCACCATTTTGAACCTTATACAGAAGGTTTTTCCGTACCAACTCCTTCTACCTATACCGCATTTGAAGCACCTAAAGGAGAATTTGGTGTCTTTCTGTTCAGTAATGGAAGCAATCGTCCCTACCGTCATAATATAAGAGCACCTGGCTTTGCCCATTCACAAGGACTCAATTATATGTCCAAACATCACATGCCAGCAGATGTGGTCACCATCATAGGCACTCAAGATATTGTATCTGGAGAGGTGGATAGATAGGACTACTAGTTGCTCGATCAGGACCCTAGCTTTATTGCGAGCCAAAAACCCAATTTATACGCCCCCTTTCTTTATATAAGGAGATTCTATCCAATTATCAGCCCCGATGTGGAAAGGAGTAAAGAAAGAAGTGTTGAAGATGGCTTAACAGTAAGAGAGAACCCCCTCATCTCGTGGCTAGGAACATCTATGTAGATGGGATTGGATTCATAGTGCCAGCTAGGGGTAGGTATAAACCTTCATTCATCTTCTTCGATCTTCCTTGGAATATGCATCATCTTGGATCTGGAGTTCTATCCTACTCCAATGAGGTTGTTCTACTTGCAAATGGCAAAACTTGGACACATCTCATGTAGGCACATGGTTAAGAAATATGAAGGGCATGCTTTGTAATATAGTCTCATACTTAACTAGAACTACTTTACCTTACCATTATCACTCGGTGCGAGCCTTCGTTCTCATAAAGTAATTCATACATTAGGTTCACATAAAAGGGTTCCATAACAAGTTCATAACTCAATCACATTTACCCTACCAAGGAAGGTCCACTAGGGCTACCTCACAATGGCGACAGGAAGCTCATGATCACTTTCCTAAGGATTAATATGATGTCTTTCCATCCAACTAACCTTAAGTCCATCATTCCTTTACTTTGAAGGATACCATTACGGCTTACGCTACAACAATCTTAACCTTACCCTTAAGTCAAAGTTTTCATATAATAGACTCTTATATCATCAATTAAAGTCACATGTCATTCATATATTCAAGACTAAGAGTTCTAACCCTAAATCAAGACATCACATATTCATAATGATATATACATTAAGCAAGTGACACAAGTCAACCAAGACAAGATACCACATACTTCACTTTTAACTCATAATGCAAGTTATTCTGGAAACACCTAGAAAAAATCTAATATCTTTAATTCATACTTTATATCATCATAGAATCATTAATGTACTCCACATAGATTCAGAAATCCAAGTAGGAATAACCTAGACTTAACCCTAACAATATGCTCATAATGTCAAAGTCATAGTCTAACAAGATCACTTAAGGCAACATAAGTAGAAAAACACACATTTGATTTCACTTACTTCAACCAGTTGCCAATAAGGTCATACTCATCATATTGCATAAAGTAACGCCGACAAGGCCACATCAATTGCAAGTAAAACACATAACACCGCCACCATAAGTGGAGTATACCAATCACAATAGAATCGAAGTATAATTAATATCAAATTAAAGAAAATGGAGCAGAATACCTTCATCCCCTCATCCAAACTTCAACTCAATGTCAAATCAACCAATTCAACATCACAAGGCCCATAAACAACAATTCAAATCAATAACCATAAAACTCAATGAATCTACATCTATTCAATATTGGCTTAACAATCTATGATCAATTAGATATCAATTGAATACAATTCTTATATTATTAGAAAATCCATAAGAAACTACATAACAATTCATCAGTATTAGCTTAATATCAAGTAACCCAATAAGTAGTCCAAAATAGGGTTCGTCAATTTAGATGGGTTCATAGGTAATTTAGATTGTAATCATAAATACAATATCAATTAGATCATAATTCAATATTTAGAAATCATTTATGCAAGAACCCATGGTAGAATCATGAAATTGGACAATTCACTTTAGAAAACATTGAAAAACATCTTGAGAGTTGGGCTCCTTGATGAAACGAGTTTCAGGGATCAAAAGTTATACCTCAAGGATGCTAATTCTTCACTTTGATGAAGAATTTAGACATAAAACCCCCTCACCAAGCTGCCTCTTCAAGTTGGACTTCAATGGAGGTTTTGGGATATTTTCTAAGTGTTTTGGGTTTTCAATTTGGAAGAATGAAGTCTTTAAGGTATTTACCCTTTATATACCTAATTAAAATACCAAAAAGGCCCTTAATAAACTGTAAAACACTTAATTTAGAAGTGGGTGAATTTACAATTCAACTCTTGACTTGGTGGCACACCTGCGCAGGAGAACAGGATTACTTGCCCTTGACGGGGCGTCACCACCTCGACGGGCCGTCACAGGCCTCCATCGGTGGCAACAGTGGCTGGGAAAGATTCAATTATTCACACAAGTCTAGTTACCTCACAACGGGACCCTTTGACGGGGCGTCACAGCCACGACTAGCCGTTGACTGCTTCGTCGCCAGGTCTGCCTGGGACAGCCTGCACACTGATTTTGGGTCCTTCCTCAAGGATCCTTTGGTGGTCCTTGAGGATAATTTCTCTGACGTTTACAACTCAAATATGATATTATATAAGTTTAAAACCTCTCACATGAATTTCATCCAAAACAAACACGTAAAACTCAACGAAACTTGCCTAGACGTACAAGGTCAACTCAAGGCATATCTTTCGAACGCCTTGGACGTTCTAGGTCGTTTGACCTTCAAACTTTACAAAAATTAAACCACTGCATATAAATTCTATATTAAATCATTTAATAACCTTAAAACACCATTCAAAACACATAAACACATAGAACCACATATTCGGCACATATGTGACTTAGTCGTCGAACGTCTTGGTTGTCCCTATACGTTTGACTTCCAACACCCCTAATACTTTAGCTATTGACTCTATACCATATATTAGACATATTTAGGACCTTAGAACATCATTACCAACATGTTAGGCTCTAGTTAACCTAAGTCATTTTTGGGGTCTTACACCTTGATCGAAGTTTACTCATTGTCATAAACTTGGACACACTCGAGACATATGTTATATTTTACATGGTCCACCACCCAGTTATTATAATGTTGTTCTAAAGGAATATAGTGATTTCCTTCGGTATCATGCAAATAAACAAGCGTCTCCACAAATAGTTTTGATTCTACAACCTGATGTTTCATTTGCGGGTAATTCTTTTACTTGTTTGTCAAAGTCTAGAACTCTTGGATCGTGAGTCATAGACCCGGGGGGCTTCTGATCATATCTCCGATGGTAAATAACTTTTGTTTGATATTTTTTATTCACAACCTCTTCCAGCTATTACTTTAGGCAATGAGATCCAAACAAAACCTAAAGGGGTTGAAAAATCCAAACCCGTATCTTCTGTCACCCTAGACTGTGTTCTCTATGTCCCTGGTTCTCCTTTTAATCTAGCATCGGTTAGTCGTTTGATGAAAGACCTACATTGTAGCATAAATATTTTGATGATTTATTTCTTTTGAAGGTCAGCAATACGGAAAAATGATTGGAACAAGACATGAATCACAAGGACTTTACTATCTTACCTTCTTCCAATTCCTTAACAGCATGCTCCATTACAGATTTCCCAGATCTAATTCACAAACGTTCGAGTCATCGAAGTCTATCAAAACTGCAAAAATGGTGCCTAGTTTGTCTAGTTTATCCACACTAGATTGTGAGTTGTGTCAACTTGGGAAACACACTCGTGCTACATTTTCATGTAGTATTGAGGGTAGTTCAGAGTCTTTTTTTTCATTATTTCATTCTGATATTTGGGGTCCTAGTAGAGTCAGTTCCACCTTAGAATTTCGTTATTTTGTTAGTTTCATTGATGATTGTTTGAGATGCAGTTGGTTTTTCGTAATGAAAGATCGTTCTGAGTTATTTTCTTTATCCCAAGGTTTCTTTGCTGAAATACAAAATCAGCTTAGTCTTTCTATTCATACTTTCCGTGGTGATAATGCCTTAGAATACTTATCATCTCAGTTTCAGGAATTTATGTATCACCATGAAATTATTCACCAAAGATCTTGTCCATAGACTCCTCAGCAAAATGGTGTTGCAGAAAGAAAGAATAGTAATCTCATCTTGTAATTTAATTAACAGAATGTCCTCTTCTTCTATTCAAAATAAAGTTCCACATTCCATACTGTTTCCTCCGTCATATCTATCCTATCCACCTTATGTCTTTGGGAGCACATGCTTTGTTCATAATTTAGCCCTAGGGGAAGATAATTTAGCTTATTGTGCCCTTAAACATATCTTTCTTGGTTGCTCTAGAGTTCAAAAAGGGTATCGATATTATTCACATGATCTTCATCGATACATTATGTCAGCTGATGTTACATTTTTTGAGTCTCAACCTTATTATACATCTTCTGATCATTCTGATGTATCTATGGTTTTACCCATTCCTCAGGTTTTACCTAAGCCAAACTTTGAAGAATCTATGGTACTTTTACATCTTCAGTTTTAGTGTCTATAAATAGGATCTCAATGTAGCAGTTTAGATACACAATTCAATAATACTTTTTCCAATATTTCTCACAAAAGGAGTGCACAAACTCCACCCAATAGAGTCAATCTATCACACTAGATAGCTAGTGTTCAACACGACGTCTCAAATAGAACAACATATATATAACAATCAAATTTTAACTTACGAATTTGAACAGAATCAATGTACGCAATTTAGGATCTATAGCTCAAAGGAGTGACATGAGGATCTAAGGGATTTAGGAGCAACCAAAGAGAAATTGAATCAAAATTCAACTTCGTCTAGATCTCGACTAGGCCTAGGATCAACTCATGATTCCCAAACCAATTAAGATCCTTAACATATCATTTTAGATCATTCAAAATAAAAACAAACATGTAGCTAGTGATCATCTCATCTTAAGTAAGCAATTTGACCCAAAAAAAGAGCTCATTCAAGATGAGAAAAGCTCCACTCAAAACATTAGAATTCATCAAACCTTTATAATAACAAATTGATTAATTAAACCTCAGTATCATCAACCACAATGACATCAAATAATGATAACAAAATAGAGGGGGCATCTTGAACGAGGCTGGCAACAAATGTGCTATTGCATCTTGAAAAAGCAACCAACATATTGAGTTGAGGATAAATAAAAATATATACATGACCACTTAAATATAAAGGTGTAGAGATATTATTAAACAAGCTAAATTATCTAAGAAAAATCAATAAGGCATACTATTAAAAAATTCAACAAGACATGCCTATACTTAAAGAATTCAACAGGACAAAGTAAAATAATGAAACAAGATTGGCCTAGGTTTACAATAAACACATTTATATAGGCAAAACAAGATTTCAAATAAACAGTAGGGGCGGGACTTGATTCAGATAGCAACACAAATATAACACCCAAAGAAGCTAAGGAGATTTATAACCACAACATATTAACAGCAAGCACAAAAATAATATTATCATTTACTTAAATATCAAACCAAAGTCTAACCCATGAAAACTGAAGCAAAGCTGAGAACACATAAACATAAAACAAAGAAAAAGTCGGTAAAAAATAGTTAAGAAAGAATTAGCATGGTTCTGAGCAGCGAACCGGAATGCGACGGACGAGTTAGGAAGATGTCTTCACTTCTTCCACTCGAACAACAACAAAAACTTTAAACTATTTTGAACTAAGAATTCCCAAACCTTATAGGGGTACTACTCTCAAGTCCAAAAACCTCTTCCTTTGAATAGTGAAAGAGGTGGATTTATATAGGAGAATTTCTAGGTCAAAATTTGGGGGGGAGGGAGGGAAATCCTTAAGCGGATAAGGTCGAGGGAAAGAGAACACACGTTGAGATATTGGGATCGTTCTCGCTGGACTAGGGTGCGATTTTGGACTGGGTTTCTGCGTGAAAGAAGATGAAGAACATACTAGGTGTGGTACTGTTGGTATCGTTTTGGATTGCAGCTTGAATTCTTTTGAATTGAGAAAGTGGGTTGCTTGGGGTGGGCTGATGGAATTGAAGGGTTGTGATGGGGGTATATTTACTGGGCAAATTTTATAGTATAAATTTAAGGAATCTCATAGTGTAATTCAATAATTACATTCTGTCCCGACAAGTTTAGTAATTACAAAAAATCCCTTAAATGTGTTGAGCCGTGATACTTTAGATTGTAGTGATACATGGTAAATGATACATGGTAATTTAAAACTGTTGAGAAAAAATAGGGGGAAAAAACGGTAAAGTTATGTTGTTAGTAAAACAGCTTAATTTGTGGTAACAGATCATTAATCAGCATTAAATCAGCAATTAATTGAATATTAATTTCAAATTTTTATCATGCCCCTTCTCAATTCTCATCTTATGTTTGTTTGTTCGAACAAACTATCAATTTATTTGACACTTTTTTTTTAGTTGAATTACTGAAATTTTATCCATTTTATAGTCGCACAAGATATATATAATATCATTCAATTACTACTTTGGTGCAGTCGGAGGATGATGGACAAGGTGGGAGAAGGAAGAAGAAAGGGCTGAAAGAGAAGATAAAGGAGAAATTCACAGGTGGAAAGCACAAGAATGAGGAACCACATCACCAAGCACATGGTGTTGGAACTCGAACCACAACAACTACTACAGAGCATGAGAAGAAGAGTATGATGGAGAAGATCAAGGAGAAGTTACCCGGCCATCATAATCATCACTAGATAAAACGCTGGGGAATAAGAAGAATATTGTTGTATTCACCATGTCGTATCTCTTTCTATTTTATATAGTGCTAGTTGCTTGTGTTCAGTTCAGTATATGCTATCGTAGTGTAATTGTTGTTATTATATACATGAATGTACGTTTGTTTCAGTTCCAGCTGTTATTTGCTTGTATTAAGCCTTTCTACATATAATATGAAGGCATAACATGATTGAAAAAAGTAAAAATTTAAGGAATTCAATAAGTGATATTAACTAAAACATTATAACATGTGATACATATCTAATACATGTATCAGAAACATTGACTAAACAATATACACACTGATTCTATATGTATCATCAAGTATAGTGGATGACACATTTATTAAACTTAATGAATGATACATTATAACAATTTTCAAAACATGTATCAGTACATCAACTAAACAACTAATACCTTACTGATACATGATATTAGTTTTCAGAAATTCATACTACATGCAAAACATGTGATACATATCTACTACATGTATCAGTGCATTGACTAAACACTGTACACACAGATTCTATATGTATCATCAAGCACAGTTGATGACGCATTTACTAAACTTATTGAATGATACATTATAACAAAAAAGAGAAGAAAAGACGAACTGATGATGAATTAATAATAAAAAGATGTTGGGTTAAGACGATTACAGATTAAGAAGAAAAAGACGATGATGGATTAAGAATAAAAAGAAGAAACCAATAAAATATGCCAGAGTCTTTGTTTGAATCCTTCTAAAGATTCATAGGATCATGCAAAGATTTTTTTCTATTTTCTGCCCCATTCTCATCAACAATTCCCGTCCTCTCCATCCCCGGCTGTCGGAGCTTCGAAACAGCCGCCGCCGCCGACGGCGGCTGAGATGGATTGTCACCAGCAGTGGGTGTGGAAGTGAAAGACATATGAAATTCTAGCGAAGGGGTTGTAGGGTTAGTGATATCTGATGAAAAACTTCTGAGAATGATTAAAAGGGAAAGACATAAAAAGAAAAACCGATGATTTTGACGAAAGCTGGAGACTTTGTACTAATCGATGATGGAGTAAGAAGAACAATAAGAACGGGAGAGAAATTGTGTAGTTTTTTGAAATTTCAATTTTTTTGAATTTTGAAATTCAAAATTTAAAAATTGAGTGTTTTAATTAAAATTAATTAAAATTAATAATTCAAAATTCAAAAATCTGATTTAGAAGATTGAGTGTTTTAGTGGAGAAAAAATAGGCATTATATTGGGGGATTGTGTATTATATGAGAGAGAATGTTATGTATCTATACACTTCTACTAAAATTTAAAAAAAAGGGAATTATGTAATATTTAAAAAAAGAAGGGAAAATTAGAGAATATAAAACTTATAGTTGTGTATTTAAGTTATTTTTCCAATTTTATATATAGCAAAGAAAAAATTGATAAATGTAGGCTATAGCAAACTATTTAAAATTGCGTTTTATAGCAAATTAAAAGTTTGCTACGGGTGACTTTTTGTGTATAACAGTTAACAGATATCTCATAATTCACGCGAGCTCAGTTTTAGTTTCATTCTCTCTTTTTCTCCTTCACTCGTAATAGCTTCATTATAAACAATTCAAAAAATTGATCAAGCTATTGAAGTAGATAAATTATACACTTATACACACAATTGTATAATGAGGCAGTAAATTAGGCAGTATAAGATATGAATATAAGCAGATATTAAGATATTATACATTTATACAAGAACAATTGTATAAGCACATAAACAGATACAAGAATTTATTATACATTTATACAAATAGTATTGTATAAGGCATAAATCAACACAAACACAAAAACATATATTAATATACATTATACATTTATACAACTACAATTGTATAAGCACATAAACAGATACAAGAATTTATTATACATTTTATACAAACAGTATTATATAAGGCATGAATCAACAGAAACACAAAAACATATACTAATATAGATTATACATTGATACAATTACAATTGTATAAAACATGATTCAACACAAAAACAAAACATATAATATAAAATAAAAAGATATACATGAACAATGATTATACAGATACCTTATGATGCTCGACTGACCCAGAACCAACAGCTTCATTTTTATCATTATGAACGGTATAAACATCAGCTTTTTGTTTCCTTTTCTTACTTGACCCAGTAACAACATCGACAGGATTCTTTACACCTCCATCAACAAATCTACTTGGGTCATTATTGAATTTGGATCTAATCTCTTGAAAGGTAGTAGATTTAGACAATGAACCTGAAATCTCTCCAAATTCCTGTGTTAGACCCAATGAAAATGATGGGTGTTCAACATCAATTTCAACATGCAATGGTATACCTCTTGTGAATCTTTTCGATGGAGATTGGGCATCCATTGATTGAACCAAAATTCTGAAGGAATTAACAAGTGAAGTGAACAGGTAATTTTAAGAAATTCAAAAAATGAACAAAAATTGATAATGTGAGAAGAGTTTTAGGTAGTACCTTGAAATTTTTGAAATAGTTTGAAAAAACTCAATGACGTGTGTGATAGAAAAAGATGATAGTTTGAAATTACAATTATGGAGAAAATTGTGGAGAAATTGGAGGAAGAGGAAGAAATTGTATAAAAAGCGCAGAAAGAAGGGAAAAGAGGATTTTGTTTTGGGAAATTTTTTTTATACAAAATGGTGGGACTTGGTATAGCAAACTTACGGAGAGTTTGTCATTTTTAAAGAAAATAACTGAAAGGGGGTTTATTTGATTTAATTACCTTCCTTAATTTGTCATTCTCCACAATTTTCCCTATTTACTAAGTGGGATAATTTTGAGGGCTTAAGTTTGTTAGAAATTAAAAAGGCCAAAAGGGATTTGGTTCATGGTTTATTTTTTGTATAAATTATATGAATCACATAGTGTAACATCTAAATTACATTCTATCCTTATTAATTTTCAATTTACAAAAATCCCTTAAAACATGATATATTATAAATAACTGTTTGTTGAGCTTAAAAAGGAACAAATCAGGTAAAAATTATTTTTACTTATTTTAATTTTCTTAATTAATGCGCCTAAATATATTTTTACTTATTTTAATCTCCTTGATTAACGCCTAACTGATTCTTAATCAGTCCATATCCCAATAGGTAACAAATTCACAAATATCAAATCTCTAATTTACATCTTCTTCATTGAACAACCATTAACTCAAAAGAAGTGATAATCTTAAAAAATTCGAAGAAGTTGCTGATAAAAAAGATGAATATATCGATTTTGTTGAGATATTCAAAAAAATTGGGGGAACGAGGTGAGTTATGAATGTTATTAAATTGATAAAATCTCTAATTTCTTTTCGTTGTGCTTGGTATATTTGTATTTTGTCCATTCAAAATTAATAAGATTCAAGATAAATATTTTTATCTTATTGAGTCATTTGGGAGTCTGAAAAATTGAGATTAGATATGAACGGTATCAAAGTGAAAGTGAAGCAAATGTATAAGGATAAAACAATTTTGATGGGTGCAACGACAAAATACAAAATAAAACATAATTTCAATTTCGAATTAAAAGATCTGACAGAAAAAGGTTTGTGATTTTGTAGTATATTGTGTTGTGTATCAAATTTTCTTCTATATTATGTGTTGTAGGCTTATACATTATATTTTGTATCTTGTATATATTTTGCATATATTGGTGTTTGTATTTGAATTGTAATGTGCGTTTAGTACAATAAATCAGTGTGTTGTAAGTTTGAAAATATATAGTGATTTGTTTGTGATAAATTATTTTGTATATGAATAAATTGGTAAATCTATATTACTTGTTGCAAGTTAATACATTACATATCTTTTTATTAGATACATTATATAATCATAAGCTTTCCCTGTACATGTTGAATTTTGTGATATGATTTTCTTGATGTGTATTCAATAATGTATCGGATACATTTGATGTAAGTTGTAAATGTATCACTCTATAGGAGAGTGTTGTAATTTTATGATTTATGTCAATTTCTCTATTTATAAGACACAATTATTTAAGCATACAATATAGATGAGTATGTATCTTATTATTTTGTTGTACTTTCTAGTATAATATTTATGTGATATATGAGTTACTAGGCGTTTTGTAAGGTATCTGATATAATTGTAATTATGTTTTGGTCAATTCACGTGTCTATTTTGAAAGAAATTGTGTTGCCACCAAGATACAAGAGGATGCTTGGACGATTAAGAGGAAGAAAAATGCTGATGAAAAGCAAACAACAAACACAAAAACTGTTGTGGGCAAGAAGTTCACAATAGACGAACTTGTTTATTTCCTAAAGATGATTGATATAGACTTTTTAATAGATATTTTAGAATATATTGATGTTTCACTTTATAATTTTCAATTCAATAATTTTTCCCTATAACAAGTATAGACACTTCAATGTATTGTATTTTTATGTATTTCCAATGCAATTATATCGAAATGTTGCTATTATGAAATATAAATTTGTTTACATTTGTTTTCAATTATGATTGATGATTATTCAATAACATTGTCAAATTATTAACATTTTTAAATATGATAGAATGTACATGTAATGAATGATTTTGTTGAATTTTGATAAATAATGTATCTGATACATCATGTGTGTAACTTAGCTTTTTCAGTATCGTATTTCCATAATAATGCTTCATATGTTGTGTTAAGATTATCAACTCGAAAATCATTTGAAGTGATGTTGATTTCGTTACTAAGGAACTCAACAAAAGCAACTACAAAAAGTGAATCATCATGAGAAACATGTCAAGTTAATTATATGATACATAATTGTAACTACAAAGTATCTTAATGTTTAGTTGATACATAATGATAAAAAAAAGATTAACTAATTTTCATAAATTGATAAATTTGACAGATAATTATAATTGATACTAAACGTTCACTAGTTGAACATGATATAGAAATTGTTCGACACTTAAAAATACAAATAATGAATT